ATATACCCAAAGGATTATAAGTCATGCTGCTATAAAGACACATGCACACGTATGTTTCTTGTGGCACTATTCACAATAGCAAAGACTTGGAATCAACCCAAATGTCCATCAGTGACAGCCTGGATTAAGCAAATGTGGCACATATACACCATGGAATACTATGCAGACATAAAAAAGGATGAGTTCACGTCCTTTGTAAGGACATGGATGCAGCTGGAAATCATTGTTCTCAGCAAACTATCGCAAGAACAGAAAACCAAATATGGCATGTTCTCACTCATAGGTGGGAATTGAACAATGAGATCACTGGGACACAGGAAGGGGATCATCACACACCGGGTCCTATTGTGGGTGGGGGGCGGGGCGGGATAGCATTAGGAGATATACCTAATGTGAATGACGAGTTAATGGGTGCAGCACACCACCATGGCACATGTATACATATGTAACAAACCTGCACGTTGTGCATATGTACCCTAGAACTTAAAGTATAATAATAATAATTAAAAAAACAGCTAAAAGAGTGTAATGGGATTGTTTGCAACACAAAGGGTAAATGCTTGAGGTGATGAATACCCCATTTACCCTGATGTGATTATTACATGTTGCATGCCTGTATCAAAATATCTCATGTACCCCATAAATATATATACCTACTATGTACCCACAAAAACTAAAAACTGAAAACAAAAACAAAAAACCCTGCCTTACTGTTTCATAGCCAAAAAAGTTTTCTTGTTTTTAATAGAAAGGCTTTTATTTGGGCTTACATTACCCAACCAACTCTGCCTCCAAGAGAGAAACAAGTGATAAAATAGCCACTTTGAATAGAGATAATTATTTTGCTATGAGCCATTTTTTAACAATTGGTTTTTAAAATTCCTTCTGCATCTTTAAGATATTTTCTTACCTTTGGGATTTTTTTTTTGAGTCATAGCAGTCTTGCTAAGAGAACTGCCTATTTGTTGGCTTTTCCACTTTCCCTACTTTCATGAGAACTGCTCCTAATCTTGCTGTTGTTTTTAATGCCCTTTTGCCCCCATTGCCCTTACATTAAACTCATGGGCTATGAGCTTGCCAGTCCTGCATCCTAACTGGTGATCATGGTCTACTTATATCTTCTCTGTAAAAGAACTGTGAACTGTGTTCGACTAAAGCCTAAGGCCCTAAGGAATTCATTGCAAGTTACCTGTGCTATCCCACTTGAGTAATAACATGTAAAGAGCAAAGGTCTGGGCACTTATTAGCGACGGGCCCTGACAAGTCAAGTCTCCTTTCTGAGTCCTCAGTGTTCTCATTAGTAAAATGGCAACGGTAAGTCCTACCCTCTTGGCCTCACAGGGCTGTGGCACAGACCATACGATGTAAGGGATATCAATGTGCTTTGTATTATTGTAACCACCTTTGCAAAAATTATGACAGTGAGAAAAATCTGACCTAGGAAAACTGTGACAGTGAAAGAAATCTGACCTAATCAACTCTATCTTGCTTCTAACCTCCAAGCTGCCCTTGTTCATTCCTGGTCATAGGCCAAACTAACTATAGAAGAAATTTAGTTTATAATCTATTTAAAA